CAATGTGTTCCAAGACGTGACGTGTAGGGAGTGCTCCGTAGGACGAGAAAACTTTTGACAGCGGACCGATAAGCGAAACCGCGAACGCGTGGGCAGTGCTCCATTTTTTGCTCCTACCTTAAGTTGTCCAAGGAGCGTATCTTTACGCCGCTATTGGTTACTGAACCTAAATGCCTACGAACAGGTACCCTACGTACCTATACTGTAAGGTAAGGTACCTACGACACACCTGCTCTCCACGATCCATCCTTCCCGCTAGGTAAGGTACCTTACCTTAGACGAGTAATTACAGAGTACCTAGGTAGGTAACACAAATAGGTGCATGGGGCGGCTTACGTGATGCAATCGTCTAGCGTCCTCTAATCGAATTTATTAAGGTACCCGTTGGGTATTGCGGTTATCTTTTCGCTGTCTAGGACGGACACCACCACAACCACCGCCATCGCCAGGCTACCTTAAGGTAGTTATGTACGGGTACTTCGCACCTTCTCCACCCTTCAACCTCCTTGATAATCGGGTGCTAGGCCTGCTCTGGTCTAGCTCCCCTGGGGAGTTCCCTTGCACTTGCACGACCGGGGATTGCGGGCCATCGGTGGAGGCCCAAGGACCGGCGCTGTCCGGGCTGGACGGTTGTAACCTGCGACCCCACATGATGAGGAGTTGCATGGGGGCCAGCCATGTGGAAGCGAGATTTTTAAGCGCCGACGCTTGTTTTCTCTCGTGCAGCCCACCAATCATCTTCGACCTCCCATCCCCCAACACCAGCCTGGGCGCTGCGTCTGAGTGGCCCGCCTTTGCAGAGGGAGAGACGGACCCAGGGAGAAGAGAGGGAGGGGGGGGGTGGGAATGCAAGCCTGAGTGGCCTCAGAGCCTTTCCTTTCCTCTCTCTGTCTCTCTGATTTCTCCGTACGGTACAATCCGCACTACCAGCCTGCGTTCGCGGGCGAGTTCCTGCTTAGGTACCTTTACCTTAGTTACTAATACTTCTCTGGAGATCCACTCAGTTTGTCTGTTCCTGACTTGTTTCCTCCTTTTTCCCACGTAATTCGTACGGTACAGTGTCTGTACGAAGTACATCCAGACATTATGCCTAGAGCGTACCTGGTAATTGACTGCGTAAGTTATTCGTACTGGTTGCCCAAGAGTTCCCTTTCGTAATGGGATGCCCGAGGTTTCTTCGACTGCTCACCAGGTCCGCGATGAAGCCTGCCACTGCTGCCTGTTAGCCTGGCTGTTCACTCCATTTCGATGCCCTGATTTCTTGCTTCGGCCAGGGCATGACAAAACCACCGAAGGTCTCGACTTGTCTCCCTCTCGAAAAAAACCACTCACTCTCCTTCCATGTCTCATACATAACCCACCCAAATCACAACCCCCTTCTCATCCTGCCCGCAGTTTGTTGTGAGGTATCCCGAGATCTTGTCTCCATAATTTCCTGCTGCATGGGCGTGTTGGAGCTTCTGGAAATTACTGCAAAAACCCCCCTCTTAAGCGCGGCCCCGACAGCTGGGCCCTGGTCAATCTGATCAAAGGGACATACAACGTCCCGGCCGTGACCCCCCTGACCTGACTTGATCAGAGGCCATTCGTCCAATTCATTCCCATTTCATCTACCTATTCCTCCTTCCTTTTCCCACACTTTAAGAACGCCTGGCCCTCCACTGCCTCGAGCTTCGCCCTTTTTCTCGAGCCAACTCGACGTCTGTGGCATAGCTCAGTGACCGACGGGCCGACCCTTTCGCGACCACCATCCCTGCGTCGGGTACCACAGCGTAGCTCTACGCTGTTTCCACACGGCCGTCGAGAGCATTGTACCCGGCCATTGCATCTCTGCTTCTCCCAGCCTATCGACACACTGCCGACTCGAAAGGAAGCCGAGGGGGGCAAAACAAAGAAAGGAAACGAGAAAGAAGAGAAAAACGCCTTGCGAAACACAGTCGGGGATATCGTAGGTAGGCTGCTGGTACCAATTTTTTTTATTTTTATTTTAAATACGCGGTTTGTCGGACACTGGAGGGCGACGGCAATAATCTCTTGTCCCGCTCTCAACAAGCCGCTGGCGCAAGAAGCATCACAAACCGAACATGGCACTCGAGAACCCTCTTCGGTCGTCCTTCGAATACATCGGAAACAAATTCCCCGGTTTCTCTCACCACCGCGCTGATATGTCTGTGTCATCACCCGACTCGGAGGCGCTGCAGTCGCCGCCGTTCATTAGCATGTGAGACGTCCCCGTCCTGCGTTGTTGCTTGCTGCCTCCAAGCAAGTAGGTCAACGGATAGTTCTCTAATTCGTTTTGCATCGTTCATAGGTCTTCGGCCAGCCCAGAACGCTCTAGTTTTCAATCCAATTCTCTCCATCCCGACTCCATTCAAAGGGTTTCAGCGGCCATGCATTTAATGAGCCCCAGCGATATTGTCGGCCCATCCCCCGTCACGTCGAACGGCACCGAGACAACCGAGATCGAAGATGAGGAGTTCGACGAGGCTCAACACCAGTCCATGGCCAATAGAACCTCCCAACCACAGGTGGGTTTTTCTTTTTCTTCGGCTGCAGGCGACGAGGAGAGTGATCAGACTTGGATTGACGTATAGCTCAGCTAAGGATGATTTCGACGAGTGTCCCCGATCACCTGCGACAGTCGGGCGAAGAGGCCGTTTCTGTCATTCACGCCCCCGAGAGTTTCCGGCATTGGGTACTGAATCCCTGGCCTGTCAGACTCCTAGCCGGAAAGGTCGCGCGACTAACGAAAAGGCAGACCTCCAGCGAGCCAGTCGCAAGATCAGAACAAACAAGTACGAGGTCCTCTCCAAGAGCCGATACCGCGAGTCAGCAGACAGTGACGGATAATCAATTGAAGGTACGGATGGGTGTCCCCCCAGGACGAAAGCCCTTTACATCTCAACCATTTCCTCTTTTCTCGGGGCTGACCTGCACGTGCACATCCACAGTCCCCTACTCAACCCCATCCTCCTCCCCTATCGACAGACGTCACCGCCGTCAGATACAGTATAGACAGTGCTACGCCCAGAGCACAGGATCTGGAAGACATGCTGAGCGAATCATCACGCGTCAGGTCCAGCAGCACCAGCAGCCTCGAGAGTATGTTGGTCTCCTTCCCAACCTGTGCCTGCGCTTCGTCTGACTTGGGGGTTCGCAGAAATCGACGAGATCCGAGAAGCCGAGACGGACACGGAAAACTACGAAGAGGAAGTCTTTGCGACACCCGGCCTTCCCCGAGAGGAGACGGAGATCAAAGCTCTTCGGACAGCGCTCCAGGAGTGCTGGACGCTTTGCAACACATTGGCAAGCCTCAGCTCATTTCATCGGAGCCGAGTCTTTCACAACTCGGGGACACCCGATGCTCATGAAAAGGCATGGATGGCCTGCTGGAAATTGTGCCAACGCTTATACGACAACCGAGACCAGGATAATGTTTCATTCAGTGTCCGCGAGAGCCTGGATCTATGCAGGGACTTTTGCCAGTCCTTGTTTGATGTCAGGCATAGGAAAGACGAGGTTGCTGACTCTATTCTTCGGGTAAATTTTGAGCTCAGCAATCAGTACGTTTGCCTTTTTCCCCCCCTTTTTTTTGTCTACAGCATAAGCGGGTTTGGGCTGATTTTGTCGCAGCCTCTACAGCGCCCAAGACTTCCGGAACATTCCCGCGCCATTCCAGGAGAGGACACTGGAGTTTTATATCACATTATGTCACCGTTTGATGAAACAACGAGGCGAGGTGGCTGATGAAACCGACTCTCTCCTCAAGGCATGCTGGTCGCTAGCCGAGATGCTCTTCAGCCTGAGACAGAACAAGCGTGATAACAAGTCTCCGGACGAGGAACTTCTCGGGTCAGCCGTACAGGCTTGCTGGGAACTCTGCGACATCTTCCGGGACGGTTGGACCCGGGTGAGACCGGATCGGAACACCCCCCGACCGAGTCAGACCAGCTTTTTCCCCAGCGATCAAACCAACGGCCGCGAGAGCCGCTCCTCGAACCGCTCCATGCACTCCAAACGGGAGAGTCACAAGAGCCTAGGCCTGGCGGAAGAGCGGCCCCGCAACAAACCGCCTCCCGTCCCCGAGACCCCCGTCACCGAGTTCGAAGACACGCCCATCTCTCCAGAGAGCGAGTCGCCCAAGGTCCCCAATATCCTCGTCCTCGGGACCACATCCGACTCGGGCCGTGGTGGCCGTTGGTCCAGCAGTGCCTCCAACCTCTCCTCCTACTCGCAATCCAGCGCCAAAACGTCCAGTACCGCCACCGCTGCAACGGCCGGCGACGACATCAACGTTACCCGCGTCAAGGCCCTCATGCTCAAAGCCGCCATGAACGTCGGCTTCGTTCGCGACCAGGCCAACGACGGCAAGGCCGGCATGGCCTCCCTCCATGCGTTTGTAAAGCAGCTCCCCGCTGGTTCTTTCGGGAACTCGGCGGCGAACACGGCCTTGCTTCAAACCTACCGCAACGTAGTCCTGGGGGATGCGGCGTTCAGGAGCCCATCGTCCATCTTACCGGCCAGGGGCAAGCGTGTGTTTGCCCAGGATGTGGCTAAGAGTGTCAATTTCATGGTCCACCGATCCGCCCATTACGCCTTTCTAAGAGACTTGTTTAGGCTCGTCTTTGGGTTCCCTATTGAAGAATCCGAAACAAGGAAGAATGTGGGCATCGCCATCTAGCGCCGGTGCCCCTTTTCTGGACACTGGACAGGCACCAGCGCCGCTGGTAGCTGCATCCTTAAGGCCAAGTCCGATAGTCGACTATCCCTACTCCCCGTCGCGACAATCATCTGACAATCAGCCGAAGTCGAATGTCAACGCGAATCTATATCCATATATAGTGATGCCCATCCTCCCCCCCCTTTTCTTCTCTTTTCTCCACCTTTTTCCATATTTTTTTTTCCTATGCGCACACGCGCAAATCATCTCAGCCCGTCGACTTCTCCCAGGAGAAGCTAGCTGCCCTTCCAAGGCGTAACGAGGCAGCGAGCAACGCAGCTTACGACTCCCATACATTCGTTATTCATGCACGAGTACGAGATACCCATTTTGGATGGCTTTTGTTTTCTGGCGCCCGGGGCTGGAGGAAGTGCTTTCGTTTTATCCCTTTTCTACGAGGTAGATTTGGTGAAAGGCTGCGAGTTGATTTAAGAGAATTCTAATCAGCGACGAAAAAAAAGAGATGGGAGGTCGCCGTCGTCGTTCACTTTCCCTGCACACTGGATAAGAACAATGGTTATTGGGCTTTCTTCTACCCTTGACAGACCTTGACGAGAAGCGAGATTTGTCGCATACGGTGTAAACTTGGCGGTGTATAGGGGATGGTAGAGGTAATTCCGTATTTATACACCTCTATATTTCTCCTCGCCCCAAGACCACTCTCTTTCCAGGAATGTCTGTAATGCCTGTATATGTGGTCTCTTATATCATTCATGTGTATGTTCTCCTTACAACTATGTCCTCCCGACCCGTCTACAACTCCCTGAGCTCGCCATACCACTAGCCACGCCTAAAGAACCGCGTATAAATCCCTTGAAGTAAGAATGTTCTTCCCGATATGCATACTGACCCAACATGGCTGTCTCAGTTTCCCAACATTGCACGACACCTAGGCAGTCCCCGACGACCTCAGCTTGTCTAAATCCTCATGATAATTGTCATCAAATCCATCCCATATTTCCTCTCCTCTAATCCACGCAATATAATCGTCTTGCTTCGTTTCCGGGACTTGGTCAGCTACATTCTCCCCTCCCAGATCACCAAGCCTTGAGCTAAGATTAGACCCTCCCCCTCCTGGCACTGTTCCGCAACATTGGCAAGCGCCCAATCGAACCCAATGGATTTGTCGTCCGACGTTAGTAACAGTAAAGCTGCGTAGGGTCTTCTCGTCTAACTAGAGGTAAACTGTATCTGCACAGTTATGATAATTTCACTGAGTCAATCATAGAGAGAGCTATTATATCGTTACATCATTCATATAAGACCGCATTTAACGGCTAAGGCATTTCGCTACCTTAGGACCCTCACGTTAAGGCCGCCATTAACCGGGGCTTCCGTTAACACCAAATTATTCCTAACTTAGTTATATCTATTAACCTGCCGGGATCGGGCAGATATCATACCCAATACTTAGATTTATTATCTTATCTTTCAGCAAAATACTTTATTTAATTAAATAGTCGTATAACACGATTTTATGCTTCTTTATTTTTACCCGATATTAATCAGGACTAATAAGCACTCCTTCTCCCGAAATTACGGTAGTTATTTTACCGAGTTCCTTTATAATTATTTAGCTTATTAACGCCTTCGTATTCACTACTAGCTTACTTATATTAGTCTCTAGGTATGGTTATATATCATACTTTTATCGAACTATAATAATAAATTTTCACTATTTTTCCAGCACATTTTTCACTTAAAAATGTTGTTTCTCGGTAATTTTCTTTTATTATTATCGTTAAACCTTTAGGTTTATAACTTAGAGGCCGTTACTTACGACGGCTGGTACGTGGTCTCCATCTCTTCGAACGTAGCAAGAGCAACCTCTGCAGAGCGATCTTGAGTTGGGGCTGTGGTGGCCTGCGGTTGCGCGTTGAGAAGCGCGCTCCAGTCTATGGAAGCAAAGTCTATGTCGCTCTTGGTTTGGTTCCATGGCCCGGCCGGAGTGTCCTCTTGATCCGTGAAGTACTGGCCCCCCGGGAGGAGTTCGGGATCCAGGGGTATATCTTGTTGATTGTCTGTTAGGGCCCATAAAGTGACGTCAGGTTCGAAGGTTAATTGATGGCCTTGAAGTTCCGGGGTATATTCTGCTGTACTGGTGATATTGTCGTAATACTGTGGAGTTGCGTTGTCTTTGCGAGGAAGCAATGCCGTGTTGTAGGCCGATGGTGTTCCGGGGAGATCCCATGGTTGCCTTTGTGTAGAGGCAGAATAGCCAGGGATGTTCGACTCTTGAGCCATTCTCTGAGAAGAAGTACCGTAGTCGTTGTACGTGGCACCATGGCCGCTGTTCGTATCGTTGTCACCCCAGGACTGCAAGGTGCAGCTAGGGCTTGAGTTATTCTGCGACGTCGACTTCTCAGAGAGCCCAAGGCTGAACAACCCGCTGAAGGTATTGTCCACGGTGGCAGCAACGCCGGAAGATGGTTTACTTTGCTGTCGGTGGCAGAACGCAATAGTGTGGCCTAGGGGTTGAGAGCTGTCTGAACAGGGGTAGTCACCCTTGCTGAATTGTTGCTGCGTTGCCCATCTTATCTCGCTTGTTTGAAGTGCCGGGGGTGGTTGAAAAAGTTGTGGGCAGGGAAAGGTGAACATCGACGCCTGATCCAAGGGGATATGAACTTTGCTCTGATAGTTCTGGACGAGGGGCAGTATGGGGGAAACTGCTGGGTCTGGGACAGAGGGTACAGTGCTGACTTGACGTGGCGATGGCGGAGTAGCCCCTAGCTGAGTTGAAGCTGTCCTGGCACTCGGTTTGAGCTGCTCTTTTGTACCACCGTCCCCTGTTGTTCTGAGTCGTTTGACCCGCCTGCCGATATCAAGTCAGTACTTACGTGTCTTAACGAAAGAATGTCCTCTGGAGACCGTTGGGCTGTTATCAGGGGCAAGTTCGATGACCCTGAAAGGAGCCGAAAGGCGTGCCCGTATTGGTGAAGGAGAAATTGAGCTCACCGGGGAGAGGAACAGGCACTGGACGAGGAGTCGCTATCGTACTATTTCCTCGTCTTGACGACTTGATTGACCAAGCAGGTGCTTGAGGGGGTCAGCATCACCGCGTGGTTGGGGCCCTGGGGTGGAGGACATCCACGCACTTCAAGACTGGATCGTTGCCATACTTGATCCGGACATAGCGAATCTGTTGAGGTCTCAGGGTCTTCTGAAACCTCTCGTGGTAGCTTGATATAATGGAATTGACCGACTCCTTTCTCAGAACTGCCGCGAGAATGAAGCGGATCTGCACAGACGTGTACTCTCTCCCTCGAGGCATGTTGATGTGAGTATCCTGTAAATATGCTGTGATATTATGTGACTGGGTTCATTGCTCAGTGTGCGAGTAATCTTTATGTCGCGTTCTTCAAACCGAACGCCAAATAAATACGATACGAGTAGTCTTTATACTTAATGGTTAGTGAGAAGGAGAGGCTGGAAACTCACCGCGCGTATTGTTATCCTTCAACAAGAAGGAATAGGGAGTTGGGCAAGACTAAGACTGTAGCCAAATCACTCTGTAAGGTAACGCAGAAGAGTAGGGATAATAGAAAACCAGGCTGGCGCGCCCAAGATAAAGAGAAAAATCAGTTTTGTGTAAAGAGAACATATGAATAGTGTTTACTTATAAAGAGTCTATTGTTATCCCTCAACAAGAAGGAATAGGGAGCTGGGCAAGAATAAGACTGTAACCAAATCACTCTGTAAGGTGACGCAGAAGAGTAGGGATAATAGAAAACCGGGCTGGCGCGCCCAAGATAAAGAGAAAATCAGTTCTGTGTAAAGAGAACGTATGAGTAGTGTTTACCTATAGAGAGTCTATTGTGTGTGGTAAGTACGTTTGTTAACAGCCAAGTCACTTAGACTCAACTCATAAGGGTGGTTCTTAATATACTTACCATTGTTTCGGGTCTTATGCTCTTTCCACTGTCCTAATTCCACTTATGGATAGTATTAACATGCATAAAAGCATATCAAGCATGCCATATAAACAAGGTCAACGGAATATCTGAGCAACATAATTGAGTGGACTTTTACTGCCCTGGCCATGGCTGCCTTAAACAGACTGCGTCCGTTTAGGTCAGTATACTGACTGTGATGACAACTCACCCTGTGGTAAAAGATAAAAGATCCACGGGACTTGGATCATATCATATCCTCGTGTATTCATTCTCTGTTCTTTGTCATGCCATTTACCCCAAGTACTGCTTGTATGTCTATGAGTCAGTCTATTATGCGTCTATCATGCAAATGCCCCTTGGCCAAAATGCACAAGATCAACAGCAACATCATACCTCCCTGTCTTGATGTTGGCTGCGAACGAAGATACCCCACCAACACTGCACGTTGCTCGACGCTTCGTTCTCGTCCCAGTCGTCTTGCCCATCGAGTATACCTTCCTCAACACAAGTCAGGACGTCCGGGCCTGCGAACATGGCATTTCGAAACTTCTCGAGTAGACGCTGCGTGGCTGCATCTCGCAGCGGTACCATGACTACAGCACGCGAGGTCTCATCGAGCGATAGATGATCTGAGAAAGCGCTGGCCAGAAGAAATGGGTGGTCGTCATCGTAAAGCGGGTCAGCCGCGAGGACAAGCTGGAAAAAAAAACAGGGGTCAGTCGTCAGCTGCTATGAGCCGAAACGGGAGTGAACATGAATGGGGATGAGGAAGGGGGGAAAACGGACCTTGAACTGGTTCTTCTTGGAGAATAGGTCCTGGTCGACCTCGTCCTCCGAGCCTCCCCATGTCAGGGCGCCGCAGTCAAGCGAGCCACCCATGGACTCAACGACGGCGCTGTTCGTCTCGACATTGTGTCGCAGATTGGCCATGATCTCAGGCAAGTCGCTGAGGACGACGTGGACTTTCCACAAAGCCGCCGCAGCTAAGCCCAGGAGACCGGTCCCTGAGCCGAGCTCAAGGACTGGCGGCCTGGGTTGACCCAGAGACTCGTCGAACAGGCGGAACAAAGATGTTGAGCCAAGGCGCGGCAGGTGCTGGGCCAGAACGTAGGATGAGCCCCACGTCTTGAGCCCCAGGGAATCTCCCGTCAGGGGGGGTTCGCGGATGGTCAGCTCGAAGGAGGGTGAAAGGGCGTCTTCTCTGAATGGCCATCTACGGATGATTTCGCCCATGGCTAGAAAGGGGAGAAAAGAAGAAAGCGATTAGGAGAGGCGCTGGGTAGAGTAGACACGAGAAAGTTAATGTCATGAATAAGACAAACCTGCTCTCCCACATCTCTCCGACAGTCGGCGACTTGCCTCCGACCAGATGGCTTCCTTCTCATCTTCGGACTCGATCCAGGAAAGGCCGCTCTTGATGATAGTAGATAGGTACATCGACGTTTCCCGCCGCGTGTAAGCAGTGGCCTCTTGCTCCTGAATAATTTCCGACCGCCTACGCTTGTGATTCCAAATCGGCGGGCTGAGCTCTAAGTGTTTAAGACACTCCAGGAGGTCTACACTTGACGGCTTCTGCCATATCTGCGGGAAGTCCTTGGGATCCAGTATCATCGTGATAACCTTCCAGCTCGCGGCAACTCGCATGATATCTTGATGCTTGAAGCTGAATGGGCCGGGCGCCTTGCAAGTAGGCATTTCACTCTGATGGTTGGCCACCTTTTTTTTCTTTTTTCTCAAAAGTATGTTGCTCGGAAATTTGCTCGAAATGTGACAGGATACGTACCCAATACCCCACATCCGCGGTTTCCTTCGTGAGGAGCCTTCACGCCAAACCTAAGGTAGGTATACGTATACATTTCGTTCTAATCTCGGATACCGACTCTCGTACGAAGTACACGTGTATACTTTCGGAGTTCGTGGGTCAGGGTCAGGCACCTTCGGAGTGCCTGTCGTTGTGGACCCTGATAGTGGGGGTGAACGGTGAACCTACCGCGAAGCCACTTCGTCCGTCGCAGCTGGAGCTATCTAGAATAGGAAGGTGGGGCAAATCCTAAATCCAATCAGCAATGCACAAAAAGCCCCGCACACGTAACTGGCAACGGGTCTCTGTCACACTCCTTGCCCACAAGGCTGCGGCTGACTCAGAGACCCCACTCAAAATTCAAGCACAAAACCCCCCATGCTCCCGCAAATTTTCCAACTTACTTTTTTTTTCTCCCTCTTCAAGCATTGTCGTCTCCAAAGCTGCGTTTCTATGCCACAAACAGAGAGATTGCGCAAGCAGTCTCTCATTCCTGGCATATGAGAAATTCGGAGTAATCTCTTCAAGTCACCACCCTTCAGCCTCCTGCTATGCGGCGAGGAACGGGTCTGCCTGTGAGGGCCTTGCGTGACATCACGTCTGCAATTGGCATCAGAAAAGCAGGCCCCGGGCCGCCCCCTCGTGTACCCTCTTCGAGGGGAGGATGGCCAGCGGACTCGGTGTGCCTATGGGAGAGCCGTTGCGAAGATTGTGTAAGGACACTTGAGTGCAATACGCAGCGTGGGTACCGCAGCCGGGGGTCCTCCATAACCCTCGGTTCACCCATAATTCGATTCCGATTACTCTGGAGACGACAATGCTTCATTTTTCCCCCGCAGGTTAGCTTCTATTCCCTCTTCTGGTCTGACCGTTGAGCTAAGGATACTACTGACGGATATAATGTTCGCGGCTCCCATGACATCCACCCGAGTCGGTTCTACAAGATCCTCCTGCAACCCCTACTGGATATCGTCCCCAGCGTTAGCGCTTTGGTCTTCGTCGAGATGATGCTCGCAACCGTCACCCGAGCCGTCCTGCCCTTTAAATAGGACCTTGTTCTCCTCCGAATCTGGGTCCGCCTCTACTTCACCTTGGCTCAGTTCCGCCACGAGCCGGTGCAGAGAAACCCGACTGCGTCTGGTCTGCCTCATCAAACCTACTACTCTCCGCCCACTTTCTTGGATGCGAATAACTTGTTCGTTGGCTTGCCTTGGGATAGAGACCCGGAAAAGGTGATTCTCGAAGTTGTCGAGACAGAACTGGACAGCGCACAGCTTGGCATCCAAGCCTTGCCCCGATTCTCTGTTGGATCGATTTTTCTCCTTCCACAGCCTGTCGAGGGTACCCATACCGCAGTACGCCTTGATATTACTAACTTGTTCATCGAACTCCGTCTTTAGTTGGTTGCAAACTTCCCGGGTCTCCTGATACTGCTGGACCAAGTGGCGCAGTCCTAATCTGAGCGGCTCCATTCTCGCCTTGGCTGATACAGTATAGGCGGACCTGCTGTAATCGTCGGGCACCAAAGCCATATTGCCACCGCTGCCCGGAAGCCCCTTTTTCCAATGTGAAGGAGCTTTCGCGAAAGTTCGCACTGGCGCTGCCGGAGAAGGGTAGACTTTGGGATTCGGGTGATGATAGCTATGCCTTGCACGGCCCTGATGCGTAGGAAGGGAATGAGTTTCCGCAGTTGACATTCGCCCAAGGAAACCACTGATGTACATGGACGCAGCAGCCTGGAGCTCCGGGTTATAACAGATTAGATGAGCTCTGGCGTCTTTGGAGAATTCGGATTTCTTCGGCCGATTGCGATTGGTCCTGGAAGTACGCGAGGCTCGAAGAGACATTGTGCGGAGTTGTCCGGTCATGAACCAGCTCGCTCCTCAAATGTGTCCCTGGGCAAGAACAAGTAGAAAGAAGCTCACCACCTTGGTTGAGCCATCGTATTTATATGTATCTGGAAATAACAAAAAGTAATATCTCCAGTTACGGGCACGTTCACATTACATTTGCGGCGTTGTGAGTAATTTTCTGCGCATCTCCTGCAATTGTTCGTCCAACATGGACAAACACGTCCTCGTTTTGGGAGATCCTATATGTTTTCCATTTCATACATAACCTTCCGCAAAAAGAAAGCCCGGATAAGTGTTTGGTCAGGGCACCATTGCGACAGGCCCCCGTCTTCATGGTCGTGCGTGAGGGATACCATTATAATGCGGTCGTTTTGGAGGCCTACGTAGCCAGCCAGCTTGCAGACCAAGTCGCGGGGGATGCAAGCCTGAGGATGCGTCTTTTAGTATGTTTGTATGGTTTGTATGCAGCAGGCAAAGTTGAAGAACCATCTGGGCAGGAAAAACAAACCAGAGAAAACAAAACAGAACAAAATAAAACGAGAGAAAAAAAGGAGCACCGGTCTCGCCCCCCCTGCGCGGTCTTCCGCGTTGACTTAAACTCTTTTGGACTAAATGACCCACTAGTTTTCCACCACCTTGAATTAGGTGCGTTTTGTGCAAAACACACCTAATTTCGGGTAGGTAGTAGAGAAAGTAGTGGATCATCTAACCCTGAAACACCTAGTTTAAGTCGACCCGCAAGACGGCGCGCCCGGGGGGCAATTCAACACCATAAACCGAAATGTAAGAACATAACACGACACGTCTCCCCGTTTAAGGGAAGGAAAAAAGAAGACGAACTCCCTCTTCGTCCCCCGTAACAAGGCCGAATTTTAGTGTTTTTTAGTGTTAGCATTTAATGGCTGTAGTTGCTGAACTAGATCCGTCATCTCCCTAGCACTTCGCCGATCATTCATTATATCAACACATTGGCACTATGATTTACGAAATGTGCCTGGATCGGCAAATCAATCGGACGAGACCCGATCGAAGGGGAACCCGTCAGATGGGAGTGATTCGCCTAGTTGGACCTCACACGCATCGCTCCGTGTGGCTCTCTCTGCTTGCCTTAGAATGACGAGAGGGTGGGAATTGTACCACAAAAGCTCTCCCTTCCCGTGGCAAATTGCTGCTTGCTAGGCAAATCCTTAGGATAAGGAGCACGAGTATGACTTCCCTGGTTAAGGGAAATGCGGGAGGGTTACATGTGTGCAGGCAACCCGCGAGGTCCCACCTACTACTACTGGTGCCTTGCATCGCAACAGGGTATTGATGGCACATCATACGCCCGGAGATATAGCCACCACTGCTATGTCATTTTCGCACCAGGAAAGGAATCCTGACTGAATGTTCGCTTTTTCCATTCAACTGATCTGTTGTGGTACCATCCCGGGGAAACTTGATAGAAACATCGCTGACAAAAGTCCACTCCATGACCCAACCTTCGGATCGTGATCCGGTAGATGCAAGTTGTTCGCCCATTATGCAAAATCCCGGCCTGATTTCTCCTAACCAAGAACAATTTTGACGCCCGAACCAAACCTGCGTCCCTACCACTAGGACTGATGCAAGAGACACACCTGTTTGTTTGTGCACAACAATGTGCGGCACAAAGATATTAGGCAAAAAATAGGAAGGAAAAAAAAACCGCTGTTGCTGATACTGCTCTGGGTATACTGTTTTTGGTCTCTGTGTGGTCGAATCGCTCTCGCGGGCCTGCATGTCGACTTTCCGCCTGTACTCGGTTTTTCATAGCCCGATCTGCATCGCATAATTCGCGAGCATGCTCATCGTGTATCATTTCATTCTGCCGCGCGGAAGCTCGTCATGATTCAGACCACCGCAATGGCCGGTGGACACTCTTTGTATATCTCCGACTTCATATCCTGAAGCCGCTGCCTCATATCCATCAAGTGCGCCAATTGGTCCTGAGGGGGGTGGGTCATGCTGGATATCTGCTTGTGAAGTAAGGCATATTTCTCGTATTTTCGCTTGAACAGCTGCGCCTTGCGTACGAGCTCCGGGTCCATTGGCTTGTGCTTCTTGATACCCGCAGCGCTCGTGATGCTTCCCTTACTGGACGACCCATCATCGGATGTGTCTGCGGCGGCTTTTCGCTTTCTGTTAACCGGCGCCGGTTCGGGAGGCGCCTTCCGCCGTGGTTCCAGGTCCGATGCGTTGGTCGGGGGTGACGTGGCGAGGGGCGAGGACTTGGTTGGGGACGTGTTCTTGGTGCTTTTGAAGGATATTGTGCCGTTAGGAGTCCCACGTGCGCTGTCGGATGCTGTGGGAGGCTTCTTGAGACTGACGGCGGATTTTTGGCTCGTCTTATTCGCTGCTGGTACCTTGGGTTTGATACGCTTGGCCAGCGGAACGCCAGAGCTGGAGCTGCTATCATCTCCTTCGTCTCGCGGTCGCTTGGCAGTTTGTTGGCTTTTGATCGGTTCCTTGACGGAATCTCGCTCGCCAGACTTGAATTTCAAGGTCGCCTTGGCCACTGCGACAGGCTTCTCCTTCGTCTCGCCTACCGGGGCGGGAGAGGCCTTACTGGTCCTTGTTGCAGATGTTGTGGCAGCCATGGGTTTGTTCTCGGACGGTTCGGATTCCGAGTCCGAATTGGTGACGAACTCTGCCGACAGTATCCTGCCCCCCTTGGCCGTCGAAGGCTTCTCCTTCGCTGCTTTATTAGGCGATGCCCTGGCCGAGGCCGTCGTGGTTGTCTTGGGTTTGTTCGAAAGAAGTCTCTTGACCTGGGAACCCGCGCCGGTGGCCTTCTTTTTCTTAGCTGGCTGCGAGGTAGAACGTGCCATTGGTTCTCCACCCTCCACATTAAGCTGGTCCTCGCTACCGGCCTCACTTGCCGCATCATCCGCCTTTTGAGCCTTCAGCTTCGGCGTGGGTACAGCCGGGCCCTTTGCAATGTTGGCCTGCACTTTGCTTAGAACCTTGCCCTTCCCACGCTCTTCTTTGGGCAGCAGCTTCTGCCATTGAGGCTCATCCACTCCTAGCCGCATCCTGTCGAAAGTCCGGACGGCGTTGTCGATGGCACTCTGGCGCTCCTGGGGGGTATCATAATTGTAATTCCACACGTCCAACTCCTTCCAGCATTGCTTCTTAGCGAGTGTCCACTTCTGAGTGTCCGAGTTGAAATCGGCCACTTTCTCGATTGTCGTTTTAAGGTCTTCGGCCTTGCCGGTCCACTTGGCCTCCAGATGGTCGTATGTCCGGTCGGCAGCCGCTAGCTCGTGCACTATCATGGCCCGTTCTCCCTTTGCCTTTTCCATTGTTTGTTTCGAGGCGCCGTAGCCCTGGTTAAGCGATGGGGAACCAGAAGCAGTCAAAGCTGGCGAGGAAGGTAAAGAGCCCGGTTTGGCGCCGGCAACTCCGTATGACGCCATACTCGACAAGTATTTGGACTTGGGCCCAGACCTGCCTGGCAACTTCCCTGCGGGTATCTTGTCCAGAATTCTTGAGCTGTCCGTTCGAGTTAGCTTTTGCTCCCTCTCGCAAACCAGCTGTCTACCGAGCACGTACTGCTTCTTGGAAGCCTCCGCAGCCGCAATAGAGTTCTGCAGAGTTTCTATATCCGAGTCCAAGGCGGAAGAGGCTGAAAATGTTGTTAAATCTCTTGGCCGCGTGCTGCTATGATTCTCACTTGCGTCGGAATGTGGTGAGCTTGGCTTTTCCCAAAGGGATGTAATTTGCGGGATTTGAGCTGCCTTCTTGATCGATTCAAATGGCTTTGTGAGAAAAACATCGGGAGGGAAAGATTCGGTTGTCGGGGTCGGGGTATGGCGCTTTGAGCCGTAGAGGAAGGTCTACGAGGAACACACGGTCAGCTCTGAAGACGAGAGGGCCACATGGTTCTGAACGAGGGTATCTACAAGGCCGCCTCACGGCGGTCCAGGTTGTGTGCAGGGACTTGCAAAAAGGAAAGCAAGTGAGCCAAATTACTGGGGCGCAACCACATTGCTCGCTTGTTTTCCAAGGCATACATGGGGTGCGAAGCAACTGGCAAGAGCCAAGAAATAGACTTACCGGGCAGTTTCCCAATGACAATTGGATGTTCTCGCCATTCTGAATGCACTTGATCATATCTTCAATAACGCCATCTGACAGGGTAACGGCGAAGGCTTGGGCAGGCAAGGGTGAGATGGAGCTACCCGAGCCCTCCAGCTCTAGGCCGGCGTCTGGAATCTTGAGGGTAGTCATGATAGTTGTACTGCAATATTGCGTAATTGTCGTCCAAGCAATGCTTCGCCACGGTGCTTCGTCAGGGTGCTTCCGTTAGGTGAGCTGTGCAGGTCCGAGAAATGGTACAGAGGCAAGATTGGGAGAGCATGGGTCGAGATTGATGTCGCCGCCGGGGGAGTGCGAGGGCCTGAAGGTGGAAAGATGGTAAAGAAAAGATGCCGAGGCAAATCTCAGGCAGGTTTGATGAGGAAAGAAAGAAAGAAAGTTTCCTGAGTAGCGGGCTGTTTGTTACATTGTCGGGAGAAATCGAATAGAAGAGAGCCTATTCGATGGGGGTACTAGGAAGGCGTGGACAATGGCGAGGCAATCGGTTTGTTCTGAGACCGACAGAAAAAGAAAGCCGCGGAGTAGAACAATGGGAAAAGAAGACCGAAACAAACGAGCAAGGTGAATCACCCCACCACAGTTGAATAGCTAGGTGAAGGAAGAGAGGTGGGAAGAGAAGCAGTAGGCAAGGAGAAAGAGGGGAGAAGGTGAGAAGAGTGAACCGCAATGAAGCAAAGGGTCAGGTAATGACGGAGCAAGGCACACGGGACAGACGAAGTCGTACTGGGGACATGGACTCCGGCTGGGGAGTGGAGAGGTGTGGGCGGAGAAAAAGAGGCTGCCCACCCAACACACCCAAACACCCAACACTCTGCGACCTTTAAAGTTCGGCTCATCCCTCAAGGCAGGTACAGGTACCTCCAGCAATCAGAAGAGACCTTGTCCTGCACAGAGAGGGAGGGCGGGCCTCCAGTCAGGTTTGTTGTCAGGTCATATACCTCCAGGTAACTGGTGCACCTGAGTGCTAGTATCACCCCACCCGCCCCATCCTACCCACTCTCTTCCCGAGTCTTCAGTCCCAAATAGGTAGGGACAAAGCATTCCGGCATGTACCGTCCTCCGTCTTTTTTCGTTCTGCCCAGCAACCTCGGTGCCTTTTCTCTCTCCCACCATCAGGTGTGTAGAGGACGTAGAAGAGGATCTACCTACGTTAGTTGGCAGAGGGGCACGTAGGGTATCGGAACATTCGAGGGGTTTTCAGATCTTCCCGTCCATGGGTGCCAAGCGTGGGCGAGCATATGTACTTTGAATTACTCCGTAGGTACCTATTAAGCACTTCCTATTTCCTCTCTTCCGCCAAAAGAAGACAAGATGGTAGGTAAGACGACAAGCCACTCGTAGTTTTGGAGGCAACTCGACTCATTTGGCTCAAGATGTATTGAGACGCTAAGGTAGCTAACTAGTAGCAAGTACCTAGGTTAGGTAGGGTGAACTGCTGCGTAGGTAGGGAATGGTTGAGATGGAACTCGACCAGGGAAGTTAAGCTTTCGGGTGCTACAAGCTGATGCAGTCCCTCACCATTCTGACGGGCACAGAAAGAACCAGTTGCTGGAGAGCCGTGTAAATTTACCTACTTACGTAGTGGGGAGTTTTGTTGGGAACGTCGCTTCGGGAGTCTTCGAACGTCGTCAACGAGGTTCTGACGGAGTGTCATTATCTCTGCCCGTGGGGTGTCGTGTGAAATCCCTCGGTGAGCTACAACGTACACGCAGCGTGCACCTCACTCTCCGCGTGAAAAACTACTAGAGACACCGAGAACGTGCTACAGCAGAGTAGCGCATGTCCAACCTGTGAGTTGCGCGGTCGGTGAAATTATACTTCGTCCTAACTCGAAGGCGCCTTATCTTCGCAAAGGAGCTTTTAAAGGGCGTATATTGTTACGTAGAAGGCTTGTTGGGCCTTGATCTGTCACTGTCGACGCCGTCAAGAGGCCAGGCGTGAGGCCCTTCCCTGGAACTTGTAACTACAAGACTATTAGTTGTACTCAAGTACACTGGAAGCCAGGCGCCAGGCCTGTTCGCTTAATGATTCAACCACCAACTGCGAAATAATGGTGTCTCGACAGAAAACCGCCGAGGTACCTATTATACGAATGGGTCAGACTACCTTATTAGGTATTTAATTTCCATTTGGGAGCCAACGCCTTGATGGCATAGCCCAGACAGATGAAACGAGTGCCAAATATCCTAAGATTAACGCAGGCCTTGGGAAAAGTGGTCCTGTCGTCCTGGGGGAAGCTCCAGTTCTTCGTACCAACAACTACCTTACCTTATCCAATTATTACGGTACCTAGTAGCTGAGTGATTAATAAGGTACCTAGCCAACACACGCACAAGGCACAACACATCGCTCTTCTTGCACGGTCAGATACATTCGTAGTAAAGCATAGTCGACGGGAGTGGTTACTGATATATACGCCATGGAATGGAATATTTCGCCAGCCTCTATGCCGCCTCGTCTGAACCTTCGCTAACTTTGCCTTCTGACGCCTCTGGAAGGGAGGGTAAAAACGGGAGGGACTCGATGTGGAGGCACCCTTCACCATAACTTGGGGGCATGCTGACCACGTGAATTCCGGACAAGCAGCGCCTGGTCCCAGTCTATGAAAGGTCTTGAAAAGGTGCAATAAATTGAGAAACCTCCACCGGAATAGTTTGTGTAAAAACAGCAGACGAGAGTCTCAAGGCTGCCTCCGTCGCTTGGGGTCGGGACGTCAAGCCAACATAATCATTTTTACTACTACGTGTCGAGTACGGAGGAATTTGGTGCGCCCATAATAAGTAAGTGCGAAAAATAAGGTAAGGTACCTAGGTAGGTACCTTAGGCGAAGACATAAAGTATCGCTCATCAACTGAGTGTCTCGGTGACTTCACTGTCTATTGCGTGCCGGGTTGACTCGATCTTGGTGTGTGGTTCATCCGGTAAGTTATTAATTAACTGAACATCGTCTCCGGTCACATTGCTGAGGACACCAAGAGTCCTGACGAATACGGTCCTAGAGGGATAGCCACTGAGATCACACACTCAGGGCATGGATTCGCCTTGACCAGGGGCAGTATCCGGTACTCGGTACATGGGAAGTGGATGTGTAAGGTACGAAGTACTTCGTTGATTGACGGCAAAGTGGCACCCGGCCACATGGATACACGGACAACAACTAATTCCCCAGCCTTATAAAAAGCATCGCTGTCCGGATGGGTACCTATATCGATTATCCCATGACTGATATGACTAGAGATGGAAATATCAGAATTGATAAGTCTGAAATATTCTTTGGTCGTGCAACGAAGGATTGATATTATGGCTAAGGTAGGGTGGAGTTGGGGATGGGGATGGGAAGAACCTACAGCGTATGTTGTAGGTATGTTGGCGGCCTTGGCCGTCCATAATTACTCGGGGTCGGATACTTATTTTTAACGAATCCGGGCACCTGAATTCACTTGCTTACTTACAACATAGCGTATACATAGGTAACATGCCAATTATTACGTTTCCGCGGCTGCTCATAGTCGGAACCACGGTCTTAAAGGTGAAAAGAAAGTGTCGATCGGCAACGATAGTTCGGGTGCCTCGCCTGGTCTCCGAATACCCGTGCCAGCAAGTGCTTCAGGGTCCATTCATCGCACCTGGCCCGTGCACGCTACGCAATCGAGCCACCCTTTGGGGGTGTGGATAGTGTGCCCGTGGATAACAACCTCCCCGAGTACGGATATCTCAGGTCAGGTACCCTATTGGGTAAACCCGTCCAGTTGTTCGAAAAATACCCGTACTTTGTTCTTTGTACCAATGGCTGGCCATCGTAAAACCGGGAATTTGGCTTATTAAGAGTTCAGCCATCAAACGGAGAAGTCAGCGGACATTAGTCGATCTTCGGTAAGGTAATGGAGGTTGGGTTGATAATCTTTGAAGGATTCTGCTACGGACGACCCCTACGTGAGTACTTCGTACTGAAAGCTTTGGTTCTCTGGGCAGCGCCGAATTCATTCTCATTCAGAATACCCAAGTCGATAAATCTCGTATCTCGCGCCGCACGTTTTCGAGCTCGCGATACACTTGGCTGGGCCGAGTTAACATGCCATCTAGGTAGCGAGGGGCGAGTTGGGAGTCACGTTGGATGAAAAACTTTGCCAATGCACCGATGCAGTCCTAGGTCCCATCGCCCAGGAGCGAGCAGCTGCAAGGCTCATTGGGCCTCCTGGGTTGGCACGCTATTGTTCGTACTAGGAAGAGTGATGACAGTCCTGCTCACCATGCGTTGACCTAGCTATGGGGTAGGTCTTATAGCGGTCAATTAGAGACCCAAGAACGGATATCCGTGCTGGATTATGGGAAAGTCTTATCTCAAATAATCCATCGATCGGGAGTGAAACATCCCGTGGCGATCCCGTTTCTGCCTCCGTTAAATGATTGTGCTGAAGTGACGGGGGGTGCGAAGTACGAACAAGACTCGGGTATCGAATCTCTAACTCTCTCGTTCGGAACCTTTTAGTTTTCTCGTCGGTCTCTAACTAATTATCGGTGAACCAGTCCAGCTCATTGACGAAGTCTATAAAAGATCCCTTTGGCTATGACTTACGGCTAGATATCCTTGCCCCACATGCTATAAACAGCCACCCAGTTGGCCAGTGTACACACGCTCACCGTACTTCGTATGTACTGAATAATCGCTACCTTACATATGGAGAGCCAACAACTAGGTAGGGGATTGAGCCCTCTCGGCCTCGCCACGACGCCAGGGAATGCCTCCGCCGTATTGGTTCCGCGGACTTCGTAGCCAACAAGTCTACAAGAACGTTCCCCGGTAGGCTATTGCACGAAGTATGGTTGTTGACGTCTGATTCATCCGCAAAAGCCTCCAAACACGCTGGCCCTGACATTGCTCGATATAGAATTATCAGACGACGGAGCACTCCGCATATAAGAGCACATAAATAAAGGGTTAGAAATTGGAATAGCCGAGTTGGTCGACTTGACCCAAAATCGTCGTTCTGTTCGACGGAGGGTTTCACGATACGATATGTTGGCACAGCAGCAACTACAGCAACAATCAAGAGGATGAAACATCGCATTCAAAATGAATTATATGGTAACTTGTGCGACGAAACAACAATCTAGCTCCGACAGCTCTTTATATCTCTTTCGTCTAGTCTTGTTTTGTATTTCCTTTTATAGACGGATATATGTGTTACTGTTGTTTCCTCGCCCGCCGGGAACTAGGAGTTGAGGGTTTTGCGATGTGCTGGCCATTCTCATACGACAGGTCGATCCCATCTCGTCCTCCCACATCTTACTGAATATTTGTGAGACGGAGAACAAGAAAGAAACCCATAAACATCCACCTCGCACAGACCTAAGTTATGCCTACGTAGGTGGCTAACCAGACCAGCCAGTCACTCCGCTCCGCCTGTCACCATTGCTGCTGTGAATTCTTGTATTAAATACTACAACGTACGTCGCGATCCGTCTCACTTCACGGGATTGGACTGACCAAATCTTGCCAGGATGGCCATGCGGAATGCAAGCTGTGTCTCTTATGTCGAACAAACAGTGAACCAGCAGAACATTATCTCAATACCGTCACAACTGCAACGTGACTCCATGAACTGCGCATACACGTGGGCGATATACCATTCTCTACCTACACACCTACCTTACCTACGGTACCGACCGACCAGTGCGTGTGGCAATTCCATCTCCTCCTTTTGTCCTATCTTGGATTTAGCTTGCGTTTCGCGTCGATAGCTTCCACGCTCATATGCTTGGCGTAACTCTCAATGGGGGTTTGTTTTCTTGGGGCGGGGATCCGGACAGAATGACTTCCTACCTATCCGTCACTAATTCTTAACGGGCACAGCACCCATTGACACATGGGGCAGTTTCCCTCGGGAACAGAAACAAAGACGACGAAGGGGATACTTCCCGCAGGCACTAACTCCTACCTATTCTAAGTCGGCAGTCCAAGCATGGCGATATATATAATTTGGCCGAAGTAGAATGGCAGTCTCGCTAAGCAGCCAATCGCTCGTTTCTAAACATACATATCAGCGAGGTAAGGTAGCTGGTATAATCCGGATTAAAGAGGAGACATTGGTAATTATCTTTAAATTTCAGAGGTCGAGTGCTTCGGTACTTTTACGGAGCTACCACTTGAATTCGTCCAGATCCTTATGGGTCCATATGAATCCCATAAAGTATTCGAACCAGTTTACCTTTGAATTATACCGAAAATTTTGCTTACTCACCTGATACAGAGTAGTTCCCCGCAGACCGAGGTGGTCGTAGTACGGAGTATTACCGCCCAGAGGTTAGAGTACAGCGAGACCGTGGTACTGCCCTAGAGTTGGTTTGGAGGCCATATTCCCACTCCAACAGTGTCGTAGTAGGCGAAGAAAACACGAAAGCCTTTTCTACTATACCTATTCCATAACGTAGGCAAGATATCAAAAGTAGGTGACACGAGGGAAGCTTCGACCGTCTCTCTATTCTGATTCAAAGGACGACTCAGATTTTCGCGTCATGCTTTTGCCGTCGATCGGCGTAAGGCCTCGTGGTATCGGGCGGAATCAACCGTCGACTAGTCCACACCATCTTCCTGTGCGGCGCATTGCTAGGCCCGAAACCGCAAGCCGACCGTCTGGTTTGGTTTGGCTTGACGGCCCATCAACGAAACCATGGGACGCCTTACAAAGTATGGAGTACGAAGCACTATCTAGCTATACCGTTGTACATATTCGCCCTACTTTAACCACCCACTACCGTAGCATTCTGGGTGGGGTGGTGCGTGACCCACTGGAACAGAGGGATAGTCTGACGGTACCGCGCCACGACGGAGACCGGCTCAGGAACCCATCAGGAACCTGTGAGTACGAAGTTCTACTGTCTCTACTGTGCGTACATACCTTATGTACTCCGTACATATCCGTACGCACACATCGTATGCACACCTCAATGGTGCCGAGATTTGCTTCGACACATGGTAATACATGGTCTATTCATTATTCGTCAATGTTAATAAATATGTTTCTCTGAGAGACACGTCTCCCAGATTTCCTTTCTCTTTCCTGCCGAGTTACGGATAGGGGTATAGCGGCATATAAAATACACACATCCGAGTCCCCTCAACAACGACTTTCAATTCGTTCGTCCTGGACGTCTTATCGAAATACCTAGACACTCCATAATTCATAGGTACCTACAGGCACTCATAGCTCATTCGCTTGTCGTTATTTTTCACGACTTGTAAGCCCAACCGCCTCCCGCCCCTGATCTACACTAGATCCCTCGACCTGCGCCATCCTGCAAGCGATAAGTGAGAGTTGTTTCGGAGGAAGATCGCCGCAGAGACATACGTTCTACAATGGTATGCGACATCGCTGGCAGAACCTGGCGAACGATAGATAGCCCAGAGTGCACAGTTACCTATTTGGCGAATGTATATACATCATCTCCCAAGTACGAATACATTGCGTATGTGGCGAGCATGTCGGTTTGCTGGAAATCCAATTGTTTTTGATCCCGATTTCTCCGTTAAACCGCCCGTACCTAAAAGTAAGCACTACCCTCCTGCTGCAACCTTTTTCCCCTTCTTTTGTCACCTGGCTGGTGAGCGGCTTCGGTCGGCAAGACACGGCGTGAATGCTCCCGGAGTTCTGTTCCAATAGACAAACAAATTGGCCTCCTTCCCGCAAGTAGAGAGTCTAGCAGAGTCCAGCAGAGCCCAGGCCCTAGGCGAGCTCAATATAAGTTTCTGGAACATGTAAATGGGGTAGGTAATAGCTTTGTTGTCCTGGCCACGAAGCCATCGGCGAGAATACTACTGGTATGAATGAAGTGCGGAGTACACCAGAAGCTTGCGTAACAGCCCAGAGTGGACAGAGCCGGCAGACTGAAAATCCGAACTCAGCTGACGTTCAGTCAAATGGAGCGATGCGAAGGACACAAACAGCTGAGCAATCGCCGGCAGATTGAGCTCTAATAAATGATGATTACCCATCCTAGCTCACCATCCTAACTCACCATCCTAACTCACCATCCTAACTCCTCTGGTCCACGTCGAGCTTCAGGGAAACCCGCTTGTAGTTCGGTCGCACATTATCAGGTCCTCTTGGATTGCAGATGACTCCCATTCCTAATTGAAAGCGATGTTGAAAACCGGCCCCTTTTTCTGCAAGGTAAATTTCAACAAAAGTCGAGATAGACCTGGACTGACCATCCGTACACCCGCCACGTGCCAGCTTTGATGCCGGCTTCAACCTTCCGCACGGTGGTGACCGAGATCTGGTATTCTGAATACTCATGCCCAAGGGTGAAGGCCTCGCACCCAAGACTCAGTGCGTCGTCGAAGTCGTCTTATGAACCATCCCTGCGTTTTTGATTATCGGCCCAGATGCCCCTGATATGGGAAATAACTGCGGTTGACAAAAGAAGGCGTTGTAGACTCGAGGGGAGTTTTCCGCCGTTGGACTTCGAGGATAGACGCTTGGACACAACATCGTGCCGATATCTTAGGTCGATATCATACCTACTAGTTCGTTCCCCCACTAGGACCTCGGGTCTTTCGCCTTCGCATTTTTATCTACCTTTTTATCCGTCGCAGAGTCGTCAATGATGCCTTGCCCCCATGATTAGCGCCATAGCAGAAATTCAAACCCCTTCCAGGCTGACCACCGACGGCCATGACAGCCCTTTATTGCGTCTTGAAAAGGAGGATGGCGCAATGGCCGAGATAGAAGTATATGAAATGCTTCGTCTCTGTTCGATCAGCGAGTTGTTAGCTCACCATACACATAGGGCCGCATCATAACACCAGGGACGGCGTTAAGGTAGACCTTACCGTGCGTGACAAAGCTTCCAAAGTTGCGTCCAACAATGCAGTGCCATGTCGGTCCCTTGCGATCGTCAAACTGGATCGGGAAAGTCAGCCCCCGAAGCCCAGTCATTGCTTGATCTCAGCGAGACCGGGGTTTACTTACGGTTTTCTTGATGTGCTGAGCAATGTCCTGGCCAAACTGTCAGTGGAACCGTATCGAACAAGCATCGGGGGTCGGGTGTAGCACTAGAAAATACCTTTTCAATGGTGAACTTGGCCATTGCCTCCTGAGCTGTTCAAACCCTTGTTAAACGTCCGTTCCATTACTGTGATATGTTCCGGAGACTATGTGCCCGACATACCAACTTCGATGACCTCCTGCTGCATATCATCCGTCTACGGAACGGTTAGCATGCTTCCTGCTGTTCGTGTAATTCGTGAGCTGTACCATGTCCGCCGACTTGATCTGAACTGTGCGCATCCACCCTGTCAGCTTGTGTCATCCACAAAAGATAAAGGTTGCTAATTGTAGCTTACCTTCGAGCTTGACATCCCGAGGGGCGTCGATGCCTCCTTTTTCGGCCATAGTTATCGGATAATGCTGTTTCGAGGTTCCGTAAAGCTGTACCACGCAGAGGACCTAGACCCACAAAAGTCGCGTCAGTTATCCTGCTGCAGAGGATCTGGGATGCCCCTCCTCTAGCTGAAGAGCGCGGGGCCCTGGTGGCGGGTTGTAGCTATGGCGAAGACGGGTCTAACCGTACAGTATAGTATCGAATGCTCGCCTGTATTGTGAGGGGATGAATCCTTTGGCTTGCCCGGACCCTAAGCTTGGTGGACAGAGGTCGCTGGAGGCGAGAGTATGGAGAGTCGGTATGTTGTTTGCTACGCTCTCAGGGTCGATACCAGTCGAGACGAAGATAGACGCACAGACCATGGAGGGAGTACAGGGACTTGAAACTTGGAGCTCCCGAGTCCAACCAGAATTCTGCCTTTGTTTCAAACCATTTCCGATAAGTCACGTGTAGATAAGAAGCTAGATCCAAAAAGAAAAGAGGAAAAAAAAAGTTGCACCCCTAAAAGGTCTCCGATGATACCTACTTCGTCCTTTGTCACATATATGTGACTTTACCTTCTCTCTTCCCAACACAATGATCATGTACTCATAGCCACGACTTTTCCGAGACCCTCCTCAGATTCGTATCGAGTCTGCTGGTCCCAAGCTGTCATCATGGAAACGTCCCGAATCTTCATCAGAGGGCTGCCGCCTACCATCACGGACGCTGAGCTCCGAAAACATTTCTCAGCTGGTAACCGAGAAGTAACAGATGTCAAAGCGATCCAACAGCGACGCATTGGCTATGTTGGATTCAAGACGCCGGAAGATGCAAAAAAGGCTGTCAAGTACTTCCACCGATCGTTCATTCGCATGTCGCGATTGTCCGTGGTGCTGGCAAAACCGGTAGGTGTCCCTACCACGCCCTTCTCGATGGTTGTCTCTTTCTGATGATGATCATAGATTGGCGACCCTGCTCTTCAGAAAACCATCAGCCATCCTCAACAGCCGTCCAAGACATACTCAAACGAGCGGAAGCCGTCCACTCAGCCGCCTCAAGATGCTGCTACGGCTGAATCGAAGAAGCGCAAGCGAGACGAAGTGGACGAGTCAGACCCCAAGCTGCAGGAATATCTTCAAGTTTTCCAGCACGGAAAGGGACTTGCAGATGAGATAGCGGAGACGTTGACTCCTGCAGCGGTCGCAGAAAAAAAGAAACTACTGGAGGAGGGCGAGAGCGACGATGAGTACGAGCTCATTCCAACGCGCCCGGAGAAGAAACAGATGAGACAGGCGCCCCATGATCAACCTGAAAAACTCTCAAGAGAAGATGATTCGATGGCGGTTGATAAGGAACCTGAAGCAAACGGGGCGGGAACTGAACCTGAGACCGAGGTGCAACCCGACCCCGCGCCCGAAGCCAATGTTGCCGCCACAGATGATGACTGGCTTCGATCTCGGACGAACAGGCTACTGGATCTCGTGGATGAGGACGAAATGCCACCACCTCTCCCGAAGAATACCGATGACCAAGTGGTTGAGCCTGAGGTGAAGGGTGATCAGGTGGACCCCCAGAGCGAACTCCAGACGCAAGAACCCGAAGCGTCCATTGCCGATGTCCCGGGCGATGTAGAGAAGGATGGAGAAGATGCTTCGATCGCGACGATCCGGAAAACAGCCCGGCTCTTTGCCAGGAACCTGCCCTATACGGCGGCAGAGCCCGATCTGCGCGAACACTTCGAGCAGTTCGGGGAGGTACAAGAGGTAAGGAGATGTCTTCCTTTCCCCCGTGACGATTGCCATTCAACATATATTCGATCGTGTGATGAATCCAGATAGGGACAGCTGCACCCCTTTGGGGTATGATGCGAACCTTGGATCAGTATTTTAGTAGATGCTTTGACAACTCTGATTTTCGATCAATCTCTTCACAGCACTTCTTCTGAGACCTTATGATGTGTACTCGGCAGGCTAATCAAGCGTCAGGTGCATATTCCGGTGACAAAATCTGGGTCCAGCAAAGGGTTCGCGTTGATCCTTTTTACCAGTGCCGATTCTGCTGTCGCAGCATTCCAGTCGTTGGACGGTCAGACCTTCCAAGGGCGATTGCTCCACATTCTACCAGCAGCTGGAAAGAGAGACATCGGGGCAGACGAGTTTGAACTCTCTAAGCTGCCCCTTAAGAAACAGAACCTGATCCGAAAGAAGGCCGAGGCCGCCTCGACCTTCAACTGGAATTCGCTCTACATGAGCCAAGATGCCGTCAACGCGTCCGTGGCTAGCCGGCTAGGCGTGTCCAAGTCAGAGCTCTTGGACCCTACGGACGCCTCGGCGGCAGTGAAACAGGCTGTAGCCGAGTCCACCATTATTAACGAGACCAAGCGGTTCTTTGTGGCGAACGGGGTTGATCTGAACGCCTTCAAGTCGCACAAGCGGGGTGACACATGCATTCTTGTCAAGAACTTTCCCCACGGCACTACCATAGAGGAGCTCAGGAACATGTTTGAGGAGCACGGCACTGTGCTGCAGGTGCTCATGCCCCCGAGTGGGACCATCGCCATCGTGCAATACGCACAACCCGCGCAGGGCAGGGCGGCGTTCAAAAAGTTGGCCTACAGGCGGATCAAGGACTCTGTTCTCTTCTTGGAAAAAGGCCCGATTGACTTGTTCAAGAATGACCATGTTCCTCAGGTGAACCAGCCAGAGGACAAGCAGCAGCAGCCCTCGGGGATTCAGAAGTTGAGTGTCACGGAGCTCCTGGAGCGTGGCGGCGATGACGAAGAGGAGGAAGCCGAGAGTCACTCCGTCTTCGTAGGCAATCTCAATTTCTCCACCCGGAGCGGCGGTCTTGTGGAGAAGTTTGGGGGGCTAGAAGGGTTCGTGTCGGCTCAGGTCAAGACAAAGACGGATCCAAAGAGGCCGGGCCAGGTGCTCAGCATGGGTTTCGGCTTTGTCGAGTTCCGGACAAAGGAACAAGCCCAGGCTGCCGTCAAAGCCATGAACGGCTTTGTCCTCGATGGCCACGCCCTAGCAGTGAAGGCATCGCATAGGGGACGTGATGCGGCCGAGGAGAGGCGACGAGAGGATGCCACCAAAAAGAAGGCTGGCCAACGGACCAAGATCATCATCAAGAACTTGCCTTTTGAGGCCACCAAGAAGGTACGTGAATCTGTGTCTTATCAGAGCATCCCCCTTCGCCCCATTTGCTTTGCTCTTTCCTCGCTCTCTTTTTTTTTTTTTTTTTTTTTTTCCTTGTGGTCGC